CCCCTCGCGCCTTCCAAGAAGTTCTCCGTGCCACCGAGGAAGGCTCAGGACACTTCTCAGAAGGCCTGAGGACTTCCGAGCCTTCTGAGAAGGCCCGCCCCTTCTCACTTCCCCCCCTGGGCTCGCCGCCGGCTGGCAGCATCGCGCTGCCTTTCCTCGGGGCGCCTCGTCCCCGCAGGTCGCGTCGCGGGCGGTCCGCCTCTCCCGAGGGTCGCCGAAGCAGGCTCTCAGCAGAGCGGCCCCCTCGGCCCCCCCGAGACTCTGCACGGGCCTCACATGAGAGGGGGCTCGAGCAGGTGTGGCCGGAGGATGGCGCCGCATCGCCGATGCATCGCCGGTGCGGCTGGATGTGCAGCCCTGTGTTCTCCACGCCGACGGCGCCGACGCATCGGCGATGCGGCGCGGTCCTCCGGCCCCCTCTGGTCGGACCCCGTCCAGGAGGCCTCTGTAGAGACCGCCAGGGCACAAGCTGGTGGAGAACTTCATCGCGCGGGACTCCTGGGCGGAGGTGAACAAGGCGGCCCCGGGCGGAGCGCGTGAGGAGGAACGGGAGGGATGTGAGGCTTGGGCCTGCGGGCCTGGGTGCGTCTGCAGTGGCTCTGCCGTGCGGCCGCCCTCCCCTTCCCCGCCTCGTGCATGCACGCTGTGTTTGAGCCGGGCGAGGGCGAAGACTCTGTCCCACTCCTGCCTCGCCTGGCTTCGCTTCCAGAGTGTAGGCCACGAGGCCGAGCTTCTTGGGCAGCGAGCGAGCGAGGAGGGCGACTGCTTCGCACGGGGCCCCCGGGCAGACGTGGGCGCGGCCGGCGGGGCCGCCGCGCCGCAGGCCCGCGCCGTGGAGTGATTCAGCCGAGCCTGCTCTCGTGTCGGGTCCGTGGCCTTGTTGGCTCCAGCTCGGCGGCCTCGAGCGGCCGCGCTGCCCCCCCCCCCCTGCAGCCGCGCGGCGCGCGCTCGCGACCACGGCCACTGCGAGGCCGGATGGCGTCGCAGGAGCCGCTGCTGGCATTGCCCGCACCCCCAGCTGCGCCGAGCCACTGCGCAGGCGGCCGCAGCGGCGGCCGCGGCGCCGGCGGTGGGCGTGCGGGCGAGGGCCAGGCGCTGCCCAGGGCGCTGCTGCTGGCGTGGCTGGCGCGGCTGCGGCACCTGCACAGCGCCTGCAGCGACCCGCTGCTGAAGGCGCTGGCGCTCTCCGCCTGGGGCGGCGGCCACAGGCCTGGGGGGCCAGCGCCCCGGCCGGGCGAGCTGCTGGCGGCCTTCCGCGAGTCGGTCCAGCACGTGGAGGGCGTCACCGTGGCGCGCGCCGCACGGGAGGTGCTCTCGCCGCTGCTGGCCGCCTGCCAGGCCGCGAGGCGCCGCCGTGGCGATCCCACGGAGCTCGCCATATGCTTCGTGGCCCTCTGCCGGGCTCTGCAGGTGCCGGCGCGGCTGGTGCTCGCCTTCCAGCTCGGTAACCCTGCCGCTGTCGCCGGCGCGAGCTGGCCGCCCGCCGCGGCGCGGGGCGGCGGTGGTCGCGGAGGCAGCCGCAGGCTGTCTGGTCGCGGCATTGGCGGCGCAGGGGCCGCAGGAGGGGCAGCGGTGGACGCGCCACTGGACCCCACGATGGCCGCCGAGCTGGAGCAGCTCACCAGCATGGGCTTCGCCGGGGACGCGGCTCTGTCGGCGCTGCTGCACAACGAGGGCGCAGACGACGGCGAGCGCCTGGCACGAGCCATCGAGTTGCTGAGCTCGCAGGCGCCACCCGCTGGCCACGAGTGCGGCGCGCAGGGCGGCCGCGCGCAGCTCCGCGGCCGCGGGGCTGGCCCTGCCGCCGGCGGGGGCGAGCCTGGCGACCTGGACGCGATGACGAGCATGGGCTTCCCGCGCGACTCCGCCGCCGCCGCCCTCCTGCAGGCCGGCAGCGAGGGCGGCGACTCGGGGGCCCGCCGCCAGCGCGCCACGGAGCTGCTCCTCGGGTGCGCTGGGCCTGCCGGCCCCGCCGCCGGCGCGCCCGTCGAGGTCGACCTGACGGCGGCGGCGCCCGGCGCCTCGCCCGGCTCGTGTGGTGGGCCTGTGTTCCACCACACCAGAAGTTGAATGGGGGGAAGGAGGACCAGGAGGACGAGGAGGAGGAGGAGGAGGAGGAGGCGAGGAGGAGGACCCCCTCCGCCTCCAACTTATGGTGGTGGTGGTGGAAAACAGGCCCATCATCGTGCGGGCTCTGCGGCGCCTCGGGGCAGGCAGGGACTTTCTGCGGCGACTGCGGCGCGCGCCTGGCGACCCCAGCGGGCACCGCCTCGGGCAGCGCGGCCCCAGCGCTGCCCGCCGGCCCGGGCCTCCTGGAGGGCGCCCCGGACGTGGAGGCGGAGGTCGCAGCCTGGCCCGAGGTCTACGACCTGGAGAGCCGCGGCTGGCTCTCGGTGGACATCGTCTTCGCCTTCGCGGCCACGCACCCGGTCGTGGATGGGAGGCCCCATGCGAGCCCTACCCCGAGATCCGACGCTCCAGCAAAAGTTGGAGCAGGCGG